AATGTCAAATATCAATTCCGTTCCGCCCAATCGTCAATACCAATAAACGATAAACCTACATACCCCACCTAAAAAAGCAAAACCTACGATTCAAAGGAAATCCATTGACATCGTCAGTCCATCCGGGACGTGCTAGGACATTCACAGATTCTTTTCAACTACTAAACTACGTTCATTGACAGATTTTTTCAGCGGGAGCCATTAACTCAAATTACATTTTATCTAGCTTAACATTAAAATGCAATTAAATCTTAATGCACACAAGAGATACACAACAATACATCTACACAAAGATACATTACATCATTTGAAGAATCAATTCCGTTCTAAGCAATGAACAAAATGCAACAGCCTTCTCTCATGTTTGGTCAAACGTTGGGGGTATTTCCCTCGCTTCTGTGCATGCATTTAACTGTCCCGACGGCAACTGCAGTTGGTCGTTCACGACAAAACATCTCCTGGGCGCTGCTTACCGTTTACAACTTTTTGTGCATGCAGTGTAAATGACTTTCGCATTGGTAGGATATGCGCTAAGCAATAGTTATCTTGGTTAACGATAACCAGATAAGTTCTTTCACGACTCTCCCTAAACCACGCGTTTGGATTGCATACCAATTGGATCTATGTGTTCACGTCATATTCCTCAAACTACATTGAGAGATTTCTATTGCATCTACACGGGTCAAAACCTACGTCAGCAAGATCATTTGACTTCAATACGTTGCCTGACGACGACCCGTTCCAATATCATTCATCCAGACCCGACATTTATAAGATCCTTGCTAGATGCTCAAACGCAATTCTTTGCGGTCTGTTGCTTCCAGCTTTCCAATCGGTCCATATCGGGTCGTCTGGCGGAAAGGGCAAGACAAAATCAGACGGTTAAACATATATAAATAAACAAAAAACTGCCTGCATTCTACTTCCCATGGTCTCCCCGCAATATTGCCACTAATTACTAGGGGAAGGTTTTCCAGCTCGTCCCCCGCGTTCTGCCTGTAGAGCTGTACACTCGAGCCGAAAGCGCCGGCGAGAAGTACTCTAACTCCGCAACCCATCTCCCTCGCTTACCACAGGAGCTTATACTGGGTCACAGGAGTTCTCAATTCAGCAGGAACGGTAAAAGAGGAGAGTTTTCTGACGCGCTCCGAAGATGGGAGACACTAGGCAGCATTCGCCTGAAATAAACAAAATTACATTGTCATTTACAAATGTATATTATCAAATATTTGATCTCCTGCAACTCTGCACAATATTATGACCTTCAAAAACTAAGTCATCTAATACACAATTTAATTTCACTCAATTGGTATAAACGAGGAATAGAATAGAACATTAAAGTAAATTTTATTGAAGTGAAAGTGGATAAAAGACATGCTTCATGCTACTTAGTTGATTTACGAGCTCGGCAGCGCAGTATACAATTACAATCCGAAATGTATTAGTCACGTGTAATACACAACACTTTTTTAGCCTATCATCTATTTACACAATTATAATAAATGTACTTTATTCGTCGAAAATAATGTAAAATTTACATTTACTATCACGAAGACTTATCTTTGGTAATAGAGGTAATAGTACTAATAGTACTAATAATTGCAGTAATAATTGAAATGTCGAAAAGGCATGGTCAAAAATTAAATCTAGATGACATTAAGCATGGCGAACTAAATGGATGTATTCGAAAGTGAAATGAATGTCTTGTGACAAGATAATTTATAATATATCTTATTTTTAACGAGTTCATTAGAAATAGTATAAAATATTAAATCCGTTTTTTTTTTTTTTACACAAAAATTATTCTTTTTCTTATTCCTTAAATACAAGATTTTATATGTAGGGAAAGGATAAAAGTTGCTTGTTTCTTTGGAGTCTACCAGACCATTTTAACGCTGCACGTACGCTCAATATCACGGCATTAGGAAGAATATTAATTTATGTAAGCCCTGCCAATAACCTACATACAATACTAAACAAGTCTCAGAAATTACTTTGGTTAAAATTTAGTATACGGTACATCCTTAGAGAACGGTGGCGGCGGGGAGTGGGGGAGAAGGGGAGTCTCCTTAAGCTGTCCCTCAAATTACGCTAAGCGCTTAAATCGAAATGTATTTTTACAATTTAATTAAATCACCCACGTTTTGCTCATTATATATGTACTGAGTTACGCATATTGCTCACCACCCCTCCCCACCGAGAGATTCCCCTCATAATCCACTGAATATCTCTCGTCCCCTCCACCGTCCCAGTTCCCTTTCGCCGGAGCGGCGCGAAGTGCCGGTGTGAACAGTTTGCTTAGGTTGTACCGTATTCTAAATTTTAGCCATTATTTTAAACTTTAAGTTTAAAAACATTCTAAGTTAGAGTTTGAAACATTTTCTTTGTATTAAAAGTATGATTTTTGAGCGGCAGTAGGTAAATGCGAAATTTTCGGAACCATTTATCACCTCGGTACAAGGAAGTTACCCTTACGACTACGAACTTAATGTAATTCACGATCTATTTGCGCCCACTTTCTTGAGATCTCGTTTTGTAAGACGTGAAAGGTTTGTTTTCAGCACAAATAAAGATAAGTTGCAATGGTTTCTATTACACGAAAGACTTATTATCAAATATTATCAACGTTCGTTGCTGCCATTTATTCATAATCCAACTAAGCCACGTAAAATTTATGTGAAAAATCATCGTTTAAACTTGTGCAGACAGTACCAATTTCCAGAAGTATGAACCTCGAACTTTCAAAAGCGCCTTTAAAGGTCAAGCGTCCTTTGATAGACACGACCTCTGTCCCCTCGCAATTACCGAGAAGAAACGATTAAAATATTTAGTTCCGACTTTATTTTATTTAATTTTTTTTTTCGAAAAAATCAAGGAAGGGTTTCTTGCACGAAATAAATGGAAATAGTTTTCATTAAAACGGCAAAGTCTACAATGTTTTTAGGGGAAAAGTCTGCCCTTAACTACACTGATTAAAATAATGCTGTCTGGACATAAATACGTATACAGGCTATATTTACGGAGAGTTAACTACTCGTACATCTCACTATTAATTAGAATGGAGGAATAAGGACGAAATGTTAGAAATCTTAAATTTCAGGAAAATTGGAAAGATTTGAAGATTTTAATATCGTTCTTTCTTTCGTCTTGGGACCAAAAATATTTGTTCTTAGATACTACGTATACGTATACCATTTACATTTAATCAATTTATTGTGATTAACTCGCGATGAGCACTTGCGTTTGCTAACAATTCAGTATTGGAGAGCTGCCTTGTTGGGATCCCTTTTTCGTAGCTTTGACAGTAATCTCGTGGATCGCACCATAGATTTTAATGATACGAGATTGATCTTTTAGCCAAGGCTATTCGACTACTTACTCTTCTGTGTCTTCGTCTTCTTAAGGCCTCCCTCAAATTACGCTATGCGCTCTGATAGAAATGAATAAAACTTACGGACTTTCATGTCTCGCCCTTCATACGCTTTGTCCCCGCCAGATTGTAATGCCAATTAATATTCAACGGCAAGTTTTGTTGCTTCGCTCGCCCTGATCCAAGCCACGGCGAGGATCGGGACTTCGGCCATCGCGTTCACTATAAACATCCTTGAGTCTATCCACCGCAGAATTCACTTTTATAAGAAAGCACTTTTCAAGAAAGCGAAGGGCCGGTTTAAGAGTTGTAACGTGTAATTTGTACCGTGAATGCAAGTTGTACCTTATATTAGACTTCAGCCCGAATACGATTACAATTTTCTGAATTTCAGAATTTCATATCATAGAATGGAATTAAAATACACAAAGAAAAAATTATGAGATACTTATCTTTTCGACATTTCGGGAACACCTCGCACTCCACACTCTACACGCCTCAGAATCGCCTCTCCCTGGTTCTGCCCCTGTCGCGACCCGTCACCCGAAACAGGAAATGCATTCTGCGCAGTAGTTTGCAAAACGGCCGCTGCGATGCGGCTTAATTGAAACGGAGCGAGTCTGGGGCCAAGGAAATATGAATGCAAAGAATTTCAAAGTGCTTATGCCTGAAAATGTTTGGCACGGTTAATTGAGCAGAATGATGATCTTTGTAATATATAAACTGAGAGAATGATATTAGTGTTTTGAATTGGTGATGTAATTAATTAATGTTAATTAAGGCCAGAACAATTTTAAAAAGTTGTTTTTATTTTTTTTTAAATTGCATTCATCATTTCAAACAAACAATGGGCAATTCGCAGTATGTTGTAATAAAATTGATGTCACAACCAAACTGATGATTTACAATTTTCTCAAATTCCGTCAAAATTCATAAGATTGATGACTATATTTTGCAAACGTGAATTCCAGACAATCGTATTCCGGTAAATTCTAATGTTGTGTTTTGGAAAACAATTCATTTCCCCGACTTTTAGATTACAGAAGAAATTGTACTATTAATAAGCTTATTCCTGCATGTTTAGATTTACACAGATTAAAAAATACAATGCTAATATTAGAAAATAAAATTGGAGAGGATATCTCTGATGTCAAAATAATTGGCTTTCTATGAACTCATCTGACTAGTCAGACGATATAAAAATAATTCAACTGTATCTTCGACCTTTGTTTGTTAGTTTGTCTGGCGTAATCTCTAAACGGTTAAACAGAATTCAATTCTGTATTCACTGAAATGAGCTGTTTTATCGGACTTAACGTAGGCCCCTTACATGTCAAATATTTATTTTATAGAAAAATTATTATTTTTGTTTTATTTTGTGCAGAGAGGGCGAAATTACATTAGCAGAGTTATTGAATATGACAAAAGTATATATGCAACCATAGATCTTGACAATAATACCACTAAAAGTGAATTTAACGACATGTAATCGACATTGATTCTACAAAAAAAGAAAGTATGAGTACATACGAAATATTTACAGACTCTTCATCCGTGCCCTTGCAAAGTTTGGTATAGATTAATACAACCCAAATGCAGAAAATATATAATTTAAATAATATGCTGGTAGATGCACCACGATTATTATTTTTGCCTGCCGATAAGAGACAGATTCCAAATATATTCTACCAGAGGCCTGCAGTGGGGCAGTAGAACGGTGTGCCTGAAATCAATGGTATCCATGAAAGACGACACATCTATGGTTTTTTACACTGCAAAATATTTTGTGCCGTTAATTTTGTTGCGCTTAATTTTAATTCAAATTTTATTCAATCTGATCTCTACCTGGACTTCATTATTGCTGGGCACTGCCGTGTGACGCAGGGCGAGGGCGAAAAGGACAGAACAGGACAGAAGACGCGAGAGATGAAGAGAGAGACAGACAGATATACATAGAGTGACCCAGAGAGGCAGAGTCAGAGAGAGGCGAAGAGAAACAGACAGACAGAGAGACGGAGGGAGACAGACGCAGGGAGAGTGAGATAAAAAGAGAGAGACAGGGGCAGACAGACAAAGACAGAGAGGCAGAGACAAGCAGAGGAAGAGAGAGAGAGAGAGAAAGAGAGAGAGAGAGAGAGAGAGAGAGGAAGAGAGAGACAGAGAGGAAAGAGAGACGTGGAGAGGCGGAGAGAGCAAGATGGAAGGAGAAAGAGTAAGGGGGGAAGGAGATGGAAAGCAGGACGCGTCTCGGGTTCTGCTAGTGTTTTATAAACATTATCTTATTCACTCACGACACATTTGTGGTGTGCCACGCTGAAAATCAATTTTTAATTCATTTACAAAAGGCCAATGCGTTGTTTTATGAGCTAGTTTGTACGACCTTCTATTCTTCAATCTCGATTGAATATTTTCTAAAGGATTCATAACAGGGCTATTTGCAGCCCATTGAAACACAGTCTGATCAATGTCTTATTTTTTCCAACTTTCTTTCCTATTTTAGGATGGAGCGCACTCATGCGTGAATATAAATTGATTTTTTCCAAACAACTCATTAGATTGAGTGGTTCATAGGTAGTAGGCCAGCAGGTATTGGTCACACCATATTATATAATTAACATTAATTATTATTGTTATATAATTAACATTGTATAATATTAATAATATCAATATTATATCATTAACTGGTTACCTTAACCTTTATTATTTACCTTTACAGTACCATTAATAGGCGTTACACTTTAAACCATTACCTTTCCCAGGTGCTTTTCAGGACACATTGTAATGCGTCAAGTGAAGGAAAAAAATATTTGCTCTAATAATTTGGCCACCTCTAAGTAATAGAAAATAATAATGCGCCATAAATAGGCGATTTTTTGACAAAAAACTTATTGCAGGAATCTGGGAACGAAAAAGTGGATAAATATTGTTCCTGCAGTATATAGTAAATTGCTTTCTGCAGAATCCATGTTTTGTGGATTCTTGATACCGAAAAATCTATTGAAGGCAAACGGCCAGTCTGTGGTCACCACTAGCGCCTAAACCGTTTAGACGATTTTCTTCGTAACTGATATTCCAAAATCGATCTAAATGAATTTAATGATGATTTGTTGCTTGATTGATTGTTAGTGTTTCCGAACATGTCAAATGTCATGCATAGTGCTTAAGTGTAATGCATGTTTTATCCTCGGGACTTGGCGGTAGGATGGCGAGATCCGGGGCCGACCTACCGTCGGCTAGCGGGATTTTCCTAAACCAGATATCTTCCACCAGGGGGGCACCAGCCCAACCAGGACAAGCCCTGAGCTTTCGACCAGTCTCCTGGCGTGTGTGGTTGTGTAGTGCATTTAGTGTGTGTGTGTGTGTGTGTGTGTGTGTGTGTGTGTGTGTGTAAGCACGTGGTGAGGATAGGACAAGGAAAACGAAGGAAACATCGCGGGCGGTCCGTGGTCCGTTTGTTATGGTACTGCTCCGGCATTCGCCTGGTTTTGATCGGAGAAAACTACCGATCTGAGCAGCCGGCCGCTAGAGTTCTCCTTCAGACAGCGACTGAATTCGAATTCGAATACATTTCAGTTTACCGATAAATTGTATTTTTCAGAGAAAATCAATAAATCACAAGGGCAGAGTGTTTTAAAAGTAGGTGTAGATTGATATAAAAGTTGTTTTAGTAATGGCTGTATGTAAAACGTAAATTGTAATTATCACACTTTGTTTCTACTTAGTTAATTCACCTGTTTAAATTAATTCAAGACTCCACGCAAACGAAGATGCAGGTACAGCTAGCAGTGAATATAAGGTAAAGTATTGAGAAAACGAATAGAAGTAGTAGTAGTAGTAATAATAATAATAATAATAATAATAATAATAATAATAATAATAATAATAATAATAAACTACTTAAAGAAGCAATCTTTTTTTTCTTATTATTCGGAATCTCATCTCAATAAGTCGCCAATGAATAAAAAGTTGAAGTAGTACTAAACACAAGATTTTCGATCAACCACAGTGTAGGGAATCCAACCTTCGTAACTCCTTGCTTCATTTCGCAGTTAAGCGGTGTTCAACTCAAGTACGGAGGTATTTCATTTAAGCGACACGGGTTTGAACTGAGCGAGGTCAGAGTGCTACTCTTCTAGGGCTGTACAATCTTCCAGCTACTGCACAGTAAAGAAAGTTTTTCATCGATAATACAATTACTTTCTCATATACTACTTACGTTTCTACATCATCTTCTTCATAGTCCAAGACTTGCTCCATTCCAGGCATTCAGAAACTATTTTTCCACCATAAAATTGTTTGCAATTGTCATACTTTTTGATTTATTAATGAAAATTGTCAATTTATAATTTCTGCAGATTTTATTGAATTCATAATGCAACTTTGCAGGCCATCTTCATTTTCGGCTACTAATACTGCATTGTCTGCATTACAAATTATTTAGATATTATACTGCTACTGCATTCTGTATGCTCTTTTAGTTTGAAATTGGTTAACATTTTTATTCAATATTATATTAAACAATGGATGACTCAGAGAACTCCCTTATTCCTTTAGATATGAAAACGGGTGAGGATATTATTGCGTTATCTTTAATATTGAGTTCATTATAAGTGTAGATATAATTTATTAAAATAATTAGATTATGAGGTATAATTTTTTCTTCAATATTGTGATAACATATATCACACATATGTTATCAAATACTGTACTCATATTCGCTCACTTTAATATTCATTTACAATTTCAAATTGAATTTTCTTATTGTATTCACATGATTGAACGGTCAAAGAATAACAATTGATGTCCAAAGACAATAGTTCTTTATGATACGCGAGGTAAAAGTGATATTTTATTTTGGGAGTAGGAAATGTTGAGGCACGAGGCAAGCAGGCTGAGTGGTGCAATCTTCCATTTTCTTTTATTAAAATATACAAATCACTTAATCGTACATGAAGGTCGATGGAAGCTGATCGGCCAAAAGAATGTATTTTGCCTTTCTAGCAAATTCATCGGAACACTTGAGCATCGTCTCACTTTTAACACTAATGTTAATAATTGAACTTTTAGCATGCTGTACAAATCATGAGAGTGCCTCTTTTAATAATGGCTGTATAAAGAGTTTATTATTGTAAAAAAATGTACAAAATGAAAAAAGGTTATTAACATGAATGTAACAAAACTATAAAAAAGCAAATAAGCTACTTTCCTCAAGGATTCCTGGTGCACTTTCTTTCCACATTTTTCTAATAATTCAGCAACAATTTTCGTTTAGTCGAGGATATTGCTTCCCGTTGTTCAGAATAAGGAATCTCTCTCTTACAAGAAGGTTTTGAGGACGATTCATTTTGTGGTACGCTTTCTATAATTTCCTTTCGTTTTCATCGCCTTACAATATCGTGGATTTACTTTTAGGCAGATTGAGCATTTTGCCAATTTCTCTTGACGAATAGCCCTTTTATAATAGAGCACAAGTTGTCACTGGTCAAATGTATTTCGTCGTTTCTGCCCATACCCCTACACAGTGTTTGAAAAAAGACTCCGAGAGTGAACTTCATTTATTTTATATCCCAGGAAGACTGCTGACCTAAGCCAGGAACCTCTCTCATCCGATCTTGGGACAGGCAGGGACTGTAAGGCTACTAAATCCACCTCACACATCACCAATGGAGTTATACTGCTTACGTAGTATAGAGAAAGTATTGTAATGCTGTGGCAAAAACGCACTTTTTCGACAGAAAAATGTTAATAGGGCTTTGATAAGGAAAAATTTGATAAATCGTGTTCTTATATGTAGTAAATTGAGACTCTGACGTAGGAAAGGTAGTAAGAGCCAAACAGAAAATTTTTCAGGAGCAAAAATTCTTTATGAACATTTTTTTACAAACATAATTACAGAAGGTGCTTGGAATGGAAGGCATTTACTTACTTTATGTGTCACATGTAAAATTTGAATTCTAAGACAGGTGTGACTATAAAATCCTATTTTTTGAAAATGAGACAGAATTGCCCCTTAGCTAACCACAGGATTAATGTTATTTGTACTTTATGCACAAATTTTCCAGTAAAATGCATAATACTTTTCATCAAGAAAGATAAATTCTTTTCTTCGCTTCAGGAATGAATGGTCTCCTATCATGTGGTTTCAAACACTGTAAGTTTGTGATTGATTTAAATGACTTTTCTTTCTTTTAAAAACATCCTGTTCTCCTTCACTTTGTATGTCATTAAATGACTGTCTTGTTATTATTAAGGGTCAGTCAGATCTTGAAAGTCCAGGTGATAGTGCTGATTTTGAAAGTAGATGTGTTCATAACCTTGTCATATACTGCAGAAAAATCGAAGAAAGTATCATCCTTCACCATTATACAGAATTTGGCACCACAACTTTACTTCTCGAATGATGTCTGCTACCTCTTTTGGGACCATTGTCATGCTTTCTAGTTTTCTCTTCTCTATGATGCCAAATTCAATTTCTCAAGACATGTACGAATTACCTGCACCCATGGATTTCACAAACATCATACACAAAATCAAAATAGTTATTTTTAATCATGTTAATCATGCGCGTTCAGTTCTTATTGTCCTGTACAGTTCCTCGCAGGGTGGGCCTGTCAGGCTGCAAGGCTGATGCTCTTGATGGAGGCGAAAACGTCGTTTCCCAGCGGTTTTCACGTAACTAGCGCCAATGCGGGCGACATGAGAAGGCGGAACTAAGCACCATGTTGCCGAGTTCGCCCAGTGACCCACCAGTTACGTCTCTACCCGCCGAGCATTGGGCAAGATCGGGAGCAGGACGAGTTCCCAAAATCACATGCCTAATTGTCTTCTTTGTTCGTTTCTTGCATTCGAGCTTTTCTTATATGTTAACGTATAAATTAATCTTTTAGAAATTCTTTAAAACCTCTTTCAAAAATATGAAATAAAAATTGCTAACCATCCGGGAATATCATACTGGAATGCAACAATATCATTGACCGTCGTGACACGGTAGCCGAATTTCTGTGAATTACGTATCATTGATGTGATATGATTTAGGTGTATGAATAGCAGTTACAGTTGTCAAATTTGTGTTGATGTTTGATTGAAAATGTTCAGTTACCGCATCAAATGTTCAATGTTTCGTAATGAGTTACAAAGAATGGTTTCTAAGATGTGTTAATTCGGAGAGAAATTGTAAAAATAGTATTACATATCTGTTACTAAAGGCGAGAAAGTACGTATTGTTTTAGAACCAGTAGTATATGTTATGGTTTAGAGCAGGGTTGTCCAACTGGCGGCCCGCGGTGCCATGTATTGTGGCGAAATGTTATTTTTCAAACGTAAAAGTCCTTTGAATCCATGTCGGGCGACATTGGGCACCTAGCGCGTGCGTCCTGTCGGGGACATGTCAATTCAGAAATTCAAAATCATCTCTATGTTTCACTGCGCTATGCATGAACGGCCTCATACCACGCATGGTTCCATTTCCCCCCAACCCATCCCACTCCCGTTTCAGAGCAGCCGGGCAAAGTGTCAAGATCAACAATTTGGGAAAGTCAGGCGTGGATTGCCCAAGTAATGAAAATATGGCCCGCAGCCATATTAAGGTTTTAGTTGTAGCCCTTGAGGCCTTGCAAGTTGGGCAGCAAAATAGCGTTTATGTCATCTTACAGTGCAGGGGGTCTATGAGATGACATGAACGCCATTTTTCTTGAATTCGTTTTTTTTTTGTTACAAAAATGTAATTTTTTGACTAGCATCTCACGCCGTTGATATTAACATTAGCGGTAATTTGTTCACATTACTGCGTTTACGAGTACACGTGCTTTACATGATGCCTAACAAAGTTTCTCAAAACTTTTCTGTGAAAACGAGCTCAAAATTCCTCATTATCAAAAAATGTAAATGCCATTTTCTCAAAAACGTCTCCAAATTTTTTCTTCGAACTTTTCGAACGGTTATTGCAAATTGCACTGTTCAAAATGGCATAAAATTCATTTTGCTGTCTTTTTTCCAAAAATTCAACAAATGTTTTTTTAAAATATTTCTCACATCTTTAATATGCACATGCAATATATATGCACATGCTTTAATATGCAATGTGTATACATTACTGCATTTGTGAGTGAATGTTCATCAAATGACTCCCACAGAAAATGAAACTCAAAAGTTTTCTGTTAAATAGAACATCAAATCAGCTTTTAAGCCATTTTCTTAAAAACGGTTCCAATTTTTTCAACGCAAATTTCTTTATTGGACTAGGTTTTAACTCTTCTTTAATATTTTTAAAGTACGTTTTGTGCTCTGCCATTAGAAATCCAAAAAATTGAATTTTTAAAAAAATAAATGTATTTTTGGCCGCGTAGATGACAGTGCAAAAGTGTTTACAAATTACTGGAAATGTCTATATTAACGGCGCGTGAGATATATTTAAAAAAATACATTTTTGTAATTTAAAAGAAAACAAAAAATACTCCGAAATGAACTTTACGTCATATTAAAGAGCGCAATTAACATCCGTTCGAAGAAGAAAAATGGAACCATTTTTGAGAAAATGTTGTTAGAGCGTTTCTGAAATTGCGAAATATTGAACTAGTTTTGACAGAAAATGGTTGTTTTCTACAAGCATTATCTGACATTATTTAAAGCACAAAGTTCTCACTAATATAATAATGTGAGGAAATCGCTGCTAATGTAAATATTAATGGCGTGAGAGAAGTAAAAAAATACGACGTTGTAAATTTTGAAACAAAAAGAATAGAGCAATATGGTGTTTATGGCATCTTATGGAATGTATGTAGCATTGTTCAAAAGTTTAAAGAAAAAAATTGGAACGTTTTTGAGAAAATTTGGTATTTGTATTTTTTTTTATTTTACAAATTGCACGCAATATTGCGCTAAAATTTTCAAAAAATGTACATGACCTTAATGAAAGAACAAATTATGGACAACAAATTTTATTGGAAGA